CACATGACTAGGCACAGATTCAACAATTTTACAGAAGTGTTCGACGGGAATGGCTTGACAAACATCGGTTAGAGCTGTTCAAAATTCAGGAAGGGTCGTTAGTGTTGTGCGATGCGCTTTCACACCTCTCTTCAAAACATTCCAAAAGTGCTCAATAGGTTTTAGGTCAGGTCTTATAGGTGGTCAGTTTATGACGAGATTCATCCAGCAAGGCAGTTCATCCAGTCAGGCAGTAGTCAACCGGGACCTGTAAGAGGTGCAGTTACCTTGCTGGAATGCTCCATTTCCATGTGAATGACAGTTCAATATAAATGGATGGTGACGATCGCACAGCAACTCTACGTACCAAATCGCATCGAAGGAGATTGGTACAAGTAACCAAAGATCTCAAACACTGTCAAGAGAAAACACACCAGACCATGAGTTAGCCGCCTGGTCCTTGTATATTTGCAACCTGGCATGGAGGATCTATGGCTTCATGGGCCTGACGCTATAATTTCAGCTTCCCGTCAGCATTAAGTAGTCGGAATCGAGACTCCTGACTCCTTGCTATTTGTTTCCAGTCCTCTAGAGCCCATTGTTTATGTTCTTTTGCACAGGCAAGAAGTGCAGCCTGATGGCATGCATTGAGCAATGGTATTCTTGTGGATTTACGGCTCCCGAAGGTCATACGATAAAGCGAGCGTTAAATGGTCCGTTTACTAACTGTGTGACTGGCACCCTGATTCAGCTGGTTGGCAAATTTTAGTTAATATTTGGTTTCGCTGGCTGTGTACAATACGGCTGAGCCGTATCACACTACGGTCATGCAAGACTTCGTCCTTTGCAGTTTTCCCGATTGCTAGGTTTTCCCCACGATCCGTGTATTCTCCGCATACTCTTAACACTGCTGACCTTGAAAAACCTAGCTCCTAGATGATGATTTCGGAAACTGAATGGCCCATGCGACGAAAGCTTACTATTTCTCAGCGATTGAAGGCGTCTAAATCGGAAGTTCTACTGAAACGATTAATTAACAACAACTACAGCACTAGCTATATGTGCAACTGCTACAGCTCGCTCACGTGAGCATAAATGCGACGCAGCGCTACAAAATTTACACAGCCATGTCTATCCCTAATTCAGCGGCGCTTCAGTGTACTCGGAGCATTTAAACAAAACTTTCCACTTGATGAATGCAGGGAATATCCATTGTGACTAGATATACTTTTTTGTAATATCATTCCTATTCAGCTAGGAAATGCCTTGGTTCCTTTCGAGCTCGAGAGTATATATCCATACTTTTTGTTTACACTTTGTTTTCAGCTTTGTGTTGGGATTTAGGATTTCAAAATTGAAAAGTCTTGTGCCATATGTGCTTAATAGTTTAGATGCAACCGCGTAAACCCGGGGAAAAAATTACGTTTTGCAAGTATTCAAATTGTTGGGAAACTGTTTGACCCCAAAAAATTGATTTTAAAATTGAACTAATTTCGAAGCAAGAAATAATAAGGAATTTAAATGAACTGATAGCTCAATCGTCGTGTATCCATATTCCCTTCATGTTCAATAGAGAATGTTGTTCATGTTCAGTTTTTCTTTCTGCCTGGCGAAAGGGCAGGCTGGGTAAAAAGCGGTTTCTGCTGTGCTATGAATATAACTTGAATACCACATGAGGGTTGATCTTCGTCTTGTTGGAATATAACTCTAGACGTGTGTTGAAGAAATGGTAACTTTTGTGATATAATGGTTAATGTTGCGTTCACGTGCAACTCATGGTAGCTAAGATCGAATGTGGTAAATATTATATACTGTTCTATTAACAATCCAGTATGCAATCCTAATTACATGCTTAATGCAGTCAAGAGCGCTATATAATGCATGTACGGTCACATAGGTCATCATGTATGGTCATAATTCAGGTTAAAATATTAAGAGTAATCCTAAACATAGCCTATTGACAATTCACGCCATTTTCTATATACACGTTTCCACTATAGGCTGAGGTATCAACGCGTCACAGTCAAGGAAGACTTCAGAGAGAAATGCTTGCATACAGTAAATGCTTCCCCCGTAAAACCACTAGATTCTGGAAATACACAATATTATATTTGTTACAATTCTTCAAAGCTATACTGGCGTTCAGCAAGTTACCACATTCGATCTTAGCTAGTTCGTCATTCTCATACACAAATTCATCATCAGTACCGCCAGTAACGTCGAACCGGAGTTATCTGCAGTAATGAATGAAACAGTATGTTAATTTAGATTAATTCTGACTTTTTATCAGCAATGATGGTTACTAAGTTCTGAGCCTGAAGGCAGCATAACAACAGTCTTATCCTTCTGCCGTTGCAGAAAATAATAAAGCGCTTTAATGGTTTGGGTGGCCTTCTTCATTAATGGCTGATCAGCTGTAGTACACAAAGCATGGACAAACGTGAAGTAGATGAGGAACTTGCCTCAGGTGAAGAGCTAGAAAGGACGAAAAATCACCAGCAAAATTTAGAAATACATTAAAAAAAATTATTAGTGTTAATTTTCAATTTTTACGCATATCAAGAAACACCGTTTTAAAATATAAATAAAAAGGGCACTACATTCTTTATTTTCAGATTCACGTGTTTTTTTTTAATCGATAGATTGATTATTGAAAGAAAATACAGAGAAATACGCCCGAGTTCATCCTTTCAGCACCTTCTCTGATGCTGTTAGTAGCTCCATGGATAAAATGTACATCGGCAAGTATCGCGTTCGTGAGCAATGCATATCGCTAGAAACCGCACGGAGAATGACAATTTACGCGAGCAGAATGGTTTTATCTATCAGCTTTACCTAAGCTACCTCAACTCGTCATTTTTGCACTCGCATTCTAGTACAAAATGTGCTTATTTTAGTCCCCTCCACCTGCTTTAATATTTTTGCCTAATATTTTTGAAATTTATAAGGCATGAAATAATAAATTATTGCAATGGATAGCAATGGATTGCAATGGAAACTAATAGCCCTTTTATGGAAGTCTGTTTTAAATTGTGGAATTTAATACTGAAAGGACAGAAGAAATAAATAAAGCCTCGAAAAAAAAAAAGAATTATACATGACATTTTCACGCTTAATAGAGATTAGCTTAATATCAAATCTTGATTAATACATTAACTGATAAGGTGTTTTCGTTTTTTTTTTTTTTCAAGCGTAACAGAAATACAATGCAGTTTCCCTTTAAAAATTCCCAACAAATGCATTCTTTCCTTTACGAAGATAACTCTCGAATGCCTTGCCTATTTGAGCTAAAATATAATGGAAGGATTATTTTTTCCTTTACAGAAAGAAAGAAACAAATATTCCTGAGAAATTTAAAAATTTAGTTTTACAGGTGAATAAATTATAAAAGAATCTAAAACGAAATATTGATAAGTTAGATCGTCAATGTTCAATAAAATTACAAACCTTTCAATATAGGATCTAATTTGTACAGATCATGACTTCGTTATTATGCAAGAATGTGCAAGAATTATTGTCGATTTTCATCGCTAAAAGCAAATAAAATAAATTAAATAAAGGGGGTTAAAATAAATGAAATTCTTTCAAATCAATTATAATCCAACTTATATTAATTTAACGATATTTGCTACAGGTAAAAAAATACTTCTAACATTTTCCTTTAAAAAATCTGTTATTTTTACGAATATATAGAATTACCATTAAAAATAAATACTATAAAAGTTGGTGAATAAGTGTACCTTTACTGAATATAAAAGTGTTAATTTGGTAGTATATTGAAGAGCGCGATTATCTGTTTGCCTCAGCTAAAAAAAATACTGGACTGATATCATGGCTGCGATACTACGCATATTGTGTACGAAGACTGTACACCGATGAGATGCTACGATTTATTGCAACACCGTGCATTCTGGTCGCTACAAAGCAATTACAGCAAAATATGGCAAAGCTAACACTGGCAAATATCCTGTGCAGAATGGCCATGTGATTTTTTCCCATGGACATTCTGCACAGGATATATGCCAGTGTTAGCTTTGCCATATTTTGCTGTAATTGCTCACCATGTTGCTCTTCATTCGAGAATCTATGTGATATTATTGATTATAAAATAAATGATCACCACTGTCTTCGCAGTATAGATGACTTCCAGATTAGAATTCCAAATACTCAGCGAATCGATGGCATGCTGTATTAACAAGTCCATCGCTCAAAATGATTATTTACCAGTCTCTATTAACGTACAGGCTCTAACACGTGTAAGAGTTTGAAGCTAAAGTAATTTGTGAATATGATAATGCTAATATCTAATAAAATAATGTGAATAATGTTCTATGTTTGAGAATATGTTCGAAATTTCAAAACGATATATAAATAATACAAAGAAAGAAAGTTTGCTCTTTTCTGTACAGCTATTATAAAAATGAGGCATAATTTAATTAAATGATAAAGAAGCACGTACAGTTGTCACTTCAGGCCGTCCTGACGGCTACTTCTCCTGTCTCTAATTTTAAGTTGTATTAAGGTATTCATTCGTTAAAGCTGTACTGATGTCGACATTCTGAGTCAGTGGGCAGTGTTTCACAATTAATGGTCCCAATATAAATAAAGGATGCTCATGCTTTTATTTATATTTCTATTTAGCAGATTTTTAGAACGCAACACTTTCCTTCATCCCTTGGGGGATTATAAAGACTTCATTAGAAAGTGATTGTTAAAAATGTACCATAGCTCACTACTTTTTGCTGGAATAAATTTACAGTTATTCAAGAGAATTCATTAGCTTTCTAACAATAGATAGTAACAAAAAAGAATGAAATGAAAATGTACATGCAGCGGAACGCAGCCATTTCTAATAGAAATGGATAGGTTTTACTCCATATTTAAACGTTCATTTACTTTAATAGAATTACGATTATTAAGTAGTAGGACGGAAATAATGTGATATAGAGATTTTAAAAGTACAAATGCTTTCTTAATCCTTTCACGAAAGTAATCTTAAAAGAATTTGACAGCATTCTTACCTGAGAGTATAAAGGCAACTCCCGACGCAAAAGATATGACGGGCCTCCGCCTGCAGAGTGTGCCGAGGACGCAGAGCAAATAGCCGAGTAGGAGGGTGACGCAGCTCATGAAGATGAATGCTGACGCCCGCTTCACAGCGTCTGCCAGGAGAGAATATATAATAACATACAAACACAGGCAAAGGTGTTGTCAGATATAAAACGATAAAATGATACTCACATGGTATTGCCATAGTAGAATCATTTGGGTCAGGGCTATACTCCTCTTTTGGAAAATAGTCCACGTTCTCGCACTTCAAGACGATCTTTCCCACTATAAGAGAACAATTTTTGATTACTTTTTATAACTTAAAAAAAAGATAGTTATAAAAATAATTATCGTGATTTGTCACAGCATTCCACAATTATTAATCAGATAAATTTAAAAAAGGTTTTCAGAATCCCGTTTAGTACAATATTCTTGACAGACAAATCACCATCAATCTCCAAACTACCATTAATAACAAATTATATATTTCAAATTGTTTTAGTGGAAAGAGAAATTTTAAAGAAGAGCATTAAATGCTCTTCTTTAAAATTTCTCTTTCCGTTCTTGACTTCCTATTCTAACTCAAAGGATAACTGGAGATATTGCTGTACAGATTGTACATGAACGGTTAAATTTTTCATTTGCTAAACCATTCTACTCTTAGTGATGAAATTGTTTTCTTAAAATCTTCTGTCTTATTTTGAGAAAATTTGAAATCTGAAATGTGCGTGTAGTTTTTATCAATGATTAAGAAAATATAGCCTATTTTGATATATTTCTTATATTCTTCAAAGAACCAATTGTAAATTATTATCTGAACGGGAACGGAAGCTTCGTTGAAAGCAGTTCCATTGTGTATTAAGATGGTATTGCTAAGAATTTTGTATATATGTAAATAATTTTAATGAAATTATATGTAAAATTTTAACTTTTGTGTGGATAATGGATAATTAAATACTTGAAAGAGACGAAGCTCTTAAGGAAAAATAAGATTACAGGGGCACTGAGGTAGATGGCTATCTCGGGTTATATGTGAAATTATGGCTTACATGTGAAACTGTATTATCTTGTGTATCATGTTAAACTCTGAAAAGGGCGAAGCTCTGGCGGAAAAATAACATTACAGGGGCAAGTCTATTTAACATTGATGCAAATGGCTATATCGCTAAATTGAGGAAGCATTGCCAAGCTGGTGATGGTTTTGGCTACTAATTTTTAGCGCAAAATTGATATCGTCGAGATATAGTCTAATATCGCCCAACTTGGCGAATCATTCGATGAAAGTTTGCTCTGGTCCCTGTATAACTGTCATTGTTCCTGTCATTGATGCATAGCTGTAATTGTATGTGGCCCTTATATGTAACTTCAGCTGTAAATGCCTTCCAGTAATTTCGAAAAAATGGAAGGTACTAGAAATTTCTCGGCTGCCGTAGGAAAACTATATAAGTCCGAAGAGAGCATCAGTTTCTCAGTTGTTTTATTCAGCCTGAGTTCGGAGTACGTACTGAGATATTTTCGTAGCAGCTTTACCTTTTTAGATGCGCTATGCAATGCGCTGCGTTTAACGTTCCTAGAACTTTGAAGTGTAACTACTGATGAGAAGAGCTGTACGAGTCATATTGTGGAGAGTTCCAGAACTGTAAAGTGTTTCTTCTAGTAAAAATAAATGTTATCAAGCTACCATCTGTTTGTGTGCATTAAACCTATTACGAATCTGTTCTCAGGCAACAGTATGTCTTGTCCACAGATAGTTTTCATGATGAAGTTTCCATAAAATCCTCACTTCAGACATGTATTTCTTCTCTTACTGTAACTCTCAAATATTCATGGTTACTATATTCTCCTGATTTTAATTCTCATTAATCATCATATGGTATCATTAACTAATAATTTTTAATTATTTGTAAATGAATAGTGCCTAACCATTCAAGAATTGTGAAATTAAAAGGATGGCTGTCTTAGCGAAGGATGTTTGCAAGGACGGAGTATGCATATTATTTACTTATATAAAAATGGTTTAAGACGTGTTTCATTGAAGAAGCTTTCCTCTTATATTTATTTTACATGCGTGGAGAAATTCCTAGTATCCACGTTATTTAGTTGCCTGGAATCGAACTCAGAGGAACAATTAATCACTGGTGAACTGTATAGTACTCGAAAACTACATTTAACAGTGTAGTTTTATTTCGGATTACAAAATAGATTTTGAATTCAGTGATAGATATATGCATAAAGATCTTTGCATAATACTGAAAATTAATATCACTGTAAACACTGTCAGAGAAATGTAAGTGCAGATGAATTGCTGAAACAAAGCATTATAAATCATTTAAAGAAAGAATGGTATACCATTTTTTTGCGATTATTGAATAATGCAAGATGAGAAAATATTCAAATAAAACTAAGAAAGAGAATTTCTCGTATTGTTTATTTGAACTTTATTCTTTTGATTCACAAAAAACGTATTAATAATAACAACCAAATTTTGTATTTTGGTACTCTTCTATTTTTTTTTTCTTTTTTGTGACTGATAAAAAAGAAAAATACATCCATGATGAATTCTGTTTAAGTTTTCAAACTACACATCTGATACTGATTGATTACCAGCACTATATTCCAAACAAATTTATTTCATCCGTTAAACTTCAAGCAAATTATTTTGTTTCTCTCTGAAAAAAATATTGTACACACTCACAGAAATGAAAGCACAGAATTTTAATTTATTTTTATAGCATTATTCTGTGACATTCGGAGAACATGATTATTTCTCTCTGAAAGCCAACTCTGAAAATAAATTTCATGAGAAGGTTATAAATTTTAGATAGCAAATCCGATGACAGAAGAGGTTTATTCTCTTCATGTTAGAGGAGTATAGTATCAAAGCGTGACTTTTAGTGAAGTGTCAACTCCATTATTATTGCTATTCGTCACTCTCTAAACTATTTTATTATCCCTAGAGGACTAGGGCTTTCGTGTCGATGCAAGTGAGCTACGAACATACATAAACTAAAACCACATATTCAAAATGGATATGAAAATAAAACTATTCCTAAAAATCGCTAATATAATTTAATTATTTTATTTATTTAAATTTCTGTATACGTACTTGAAAACGTTTATTGAAAAGCTTACAAAATGTCCGAAAGCTTTCACGACCAAAACATTCTGTTCAGAATTGTTCGGTAGTTTATTAGTAACCTGTAATTGTATAATTACCCATATTGGAAAATATCCTTTTATAAAATTTCTGTGTTTCCTTATTATTAGGGGGAAAATGGAAGCCTGCTTGTGTTTTACTATTTGAAGAATGTTGCGCAGTCTGCATATGCTTCACGTAGAAGAAACGTTTAACAATTTTAGAACACATTTTCTTACACGCATTAATTAGCATTTCACAGATATGGGAGTCAAAATTGTACAATACGAATAGAATGAAAAATGAAAAGTTATATTTTCTGGGCATTCGCTTTCTAGGAAATGTCATCACTATACAGTTAATGTATGGATTACCTGACACGGTTGCCTCACTCTTAGAATTATGTTCCAGTTCAATGCATATAGCTTTGGATAGTTTTGTCCATTGTTTATGCCAACTAAATACATTATCATTGCTTTTTTAATATGCTGAATAATAATAACATTCAGAAAATATGTAGTATGTAGTAGATTAGTTTACTAAATGGCATCGTTAGTATTTCATTTAGAAATGTCAATATGATAGTCTTCTTGATCTGCTTGATAGCAGAGGGTGGAAGAGGGGTACATGATCCTAGACTGTTGTCCTAAAGAAGAATGTCCTCTTAATTAGAACGCTATGTTGGGCAATGTCATACCGTCTTCACCGGAATGGACAGTTTTGTACGGCCCGGACACATCCTGTCTTGGAATGTTCTTGGCTTTTGTCAGACGGACAAGGTTTAAGAAAAGGAAAGGCCAACGTATCATAATATGTTGTTACATTGTTTGTGTGCTCTGACTATGTTTTATTCAAACTATACAACTAATAAGGTGCAGGCACCATTACCTGTTGTGAAAAATGTAAATAGGAATATAATATAGGAAATAATTTTTAGTGTCCAAAAATTTCTAATCTCGCATTCGGAGACTGGAAAAATCGCAACCAGAGATTTGAAACTAATTTTTAAAAAGCACTTGTTTCTTGTCGAGTGAGAATGAAATATCTAATATTCGTTTACATTTATGCTGTAAGACCTTAAGAGGAAATATCGATAGCTTGCTTCTAGTCATAAAGTAAGCTCGAAAATGCAAACTGTAAGATTTAGTTCTTAAATAAGTTGAAATACGTTTATAGACAAAATTCAGTTGGTTTCTCAAAATAAGAAAATTTGATAAAAGTTGATTCATGAGCATGTGTGAAGACTTCTATAGATATAAAATCTTAATATTTTATGTGGTATCCTTTGGGCAGGATCCTAATATGTAAACTATTCATTATCCTTCACTATATTAAGTAAATAAAGTTCTTAATCTCTGTTTGCACAGATGCTCGAGAAACAATCTACTGATTCCGATCACTTTCAATACCTATTGTTCAATGAAATTTAAGATTTTGAGATCAAATTTAGGGAGTTATTACAAAACAGAAATTTTTCATTGAGGGATTAATAATTTCGTATTCTGGAACAATAAGATTTTTTTACAACTAGCTCAATGAAAATTTTAATTAGAGATATCGTGGGGAATACTTCATGCAGAGGAAAGGAACATCTTTTATTCGGCTTATTAAAGCAGGATTAATATTTTACCGATTTGATATTTTGCTTTACAATACTCTACAGATAAATCAGATTTTATATTTATAGAATCCTCATTTCTACAGTGCTTAAATTGTTTTAAATTATTTTGCTATTTCATTTTGAGAAATTAATTAATGATATTGAAATTTTTAGAAATAAACATAAATTTCAGCACAGGGCACGTAAATGTTAAAGGCAGTTATCGAGAATTAATGGACTTTAAATCTGAAAGAATGCAACTAAAATTTCAATTAAGGGATTCAGGAATGGCTAAATAAAATTTGTTGAATTTTAAATCTATGTTGTGTAAGTTTATTACAGTCATGGGACTTGTCTACAATCAGAAAGTAACTGTTAGCAAATTATCGTTAAATAAACATAATGTTTAGGAACAGTTCAAGAATAGAATATGGGTTACGGTGTTCTTAATAATATAATATTATTAAGTATTATTGAGTAATACCTTATTCTGAAAACTAATCCCATTTGAATGAAATTAATTTACATAAATAACATATTTAG